TCCAATTTTTGTTCATTCTTCTCATATCTTTCTCTATTTCTCGATGTAACGTGTTCCTTGGCCTTCCTCTTTTCCATTGTCCTTGAGGGTTCCAAGTGAATGATTGTCTTTTGACGCACTCAGGTGCTCTCCTCAATGTGTGTCCTATCCACTTCCACCACTTCTTCCTGATTTATTCCTTGGCCGGAATCTAGTTTGTTTTCCCCTACAGTAGGTTGTTGATGATGGTGTCTGGCCAATGAATCCGAAGTGTTTTGCGAAGACAACTATTAATAAATACATGTATCTTCTGAATGATGGCTTTCGTAGTTCTCAAAGTTTCCGCTGCATACAGTAGAACTGTCTTGATATTTGTATTGAAAATTCTGATTTTTGTGTTTGTTGACAGTTGTTTTGAGTTCTAGATGTTGTTCAGTTGTAAAAATGCAGTCCTTGCTCTGCCGACCTGTGCCTTCAAATCTGCATCAGACCCACCTTACTTGTCAATGATGCAGTCCGGATATGTAAATGTGTTACCGTTCTCTAAGGCATCTCCATCGAGAATGAATTGGTTGGCGCATGTTGTGTTATATCGACAGATCGACAGAATTGAAGTCGGTTAATGACTTTCTTTTTTATAGAAACAATTTGTTGACATTTTGAAACTTTAAAAATTTGTTTATCCAAGTAATGATGACTTCCACGGTGTGGGCAGCCGGAAAGTGACAACCGCACTCATGCTCGTAAAAGCACACGAGACCAAATTGGTCAAAATCAAATCCTTCTTACCCCTCCTAATACCTCTCTGATGTCCACGACTAACTCTTCTTTATCACACTGTACAGCTAATATTTTGTGGTGTAGGAGTAGGTTGAAAGAAAGCTAGGGGTGGCCAGACCATAACATGGCAGAAATCCATGAAGTCACTGACAAGTGGACTGAGTCATGTTGGTAGATGTAGGCTACCTGGTTGAGGTCCGCGAGACGAAAGTCACCAATGGTTAGAGACCTTGAACTGAATTATATTTCACGAATCATATTTCCGAACGCTAATCTCCATTACTGCTAATTCTTCTACTATCTCCATCTAACTGTTTATTGTTGTGTTATATTCCATGATTCATGGAGTTTACTGTTAAATCCTAAACTGTAAAAAAGGAAGCGATTGTCTTTTCTCAAACAATAGAAATTATTCAACAGATTAGATTAAAGTTTAAACGAACTACACCCAAACTAACTTTGTTTCGGAGACGGTGGGGTAATGAGTGGGACTGAGTGCATTTCTATACGTCTGTGTTTATTTTTAGAAAACATTAAAATGAATGAGTAGCACGACTATGAAACGATACAGCGAAGACAATCTATGCCGACTCCATTTCATAAAATGTGACTTTTTTTTATTTATAGCCTGATAAAGATAAGCTCAAGATATGATGAACAAAGTAGGCAATTAACAAATACACTCAAATAAAAACATTCAAGATTATAAATGACGGTTTGACAAGATAAAAATATGTGCGTAAATAATGACTTGGGGAAAAAAAGGAAAAATAACTGATTTGTACATGTAGGTTGGATACTACCTCTAACTCAGGTCTCATCTGATCAAAAAATGAAAATTTCGGAATTACGAAAAAATTTTTACGGGACATGAGACAAAGAGTATTAGGAGTGTCTGGTCCTGTTCCCATCAAGCTAGGCTGAATCTCTTGCTATCCTATGCCATATATGTTTACACCATGTGCCATACTGCTATATAGAGCTGAAAGTTTCCTATGAGACCAGAGGTTCACTGTGAACATAGCGGATGACTTGGCATTGCTTTCGCAAGCATTGCTAACAGTCCATATACAAAAAGTGGTTAGCAGGGCGACCGATTCCATTGATATAGGTGGTTGTTTTGCAACATTCCCGAGGACCACTGCCCACGGGGTTCTGTATTGCATATCATCATTGCTAATAATCATGAGTTTGACAGTCATGTTAGCGGGATGGATCGAATTGACCTGTTCATGCGGTGCATACTGATTGACGAAGCGATCATGGCTCGGAAATAATCGCTAAATATGTGTTAGTGTATATAAATGGTGTGAACGCTACACCATGGTATCAGGTACCTCCTGTGTGATTGCACCACGGGATTGAGCTGAACTGTTCATGTCAAAATGCTAACACGTGAACAGTCAGTCTCCTTGGTTCTCCTGAAAACTAATATGAAATTCCCCGTGGCAATAGACGGTTAATTTGTATGATGAGAACTTCGCCTACATCTCTTCAAAGAATACAAAGTTGGTCAGATATTTTAGAACTTGTTGAATTAGCAGAAGATATAAAGATAGTTGAGTAGAAGAAAACACAGATAAATTGTTACATTATAACAATTTATTTTTCGATACATCAAAATAAATTCAAATTTCTGTTTCTTTAACTTTTACACTTTTTATTGTGTATACAATACCAGTCATAGTGTAATATCATGTTATAGTGTTATGTATGAATAAAGTTACGTCAATTTGAAATACATTCTCATTAAAGAAATCAACAGTAGATGTTCATATTGATAGTAGACAACAAAGCCATAAATAAACTTATTTAATATATCACAAATACCTAACTGGACGGCCGTTTCTTCCTGGTATGTGACTCCTCGGCAGTGCGCATCCACGACTCCTGCACCCCGCAGGACTCGAACCCACGACCTTCGGTATCGTAGGCGAACGCCTAACCATCGGACCACTGAGCCGGTATTATTGTCTAACTTGATCAATTCACGGAGTTGCGCAACCTCATACAGTCTTCGGTAGTTACTGTCTACACCCGAACAGGTTGAACTTCACTGGTCACTTCTTCCCACTAGAACTCGGAGAAGATTCCTCACGAAGCTAGTCACTAGTAAGCACAGGTAATTTGCATTACGGGGTTGTGAAGATTGTTAAGCTACACATTTTTGAAACCATGAATCGATCAATGTTAGACCACCATTAGAAACCTGGAAGCACTGAACAGCCGCTTCGTTAGATACCGGCTCAGTGGTCCGATGGTTAGGCGTTCGCCTACAATACCGAAGGTCCTAGGTTCGAATCCTGCGGGGTACTGGAGTCATGGATGCGCAGGCCTGATTAGTCCACTACCAGGACAAAACGGCCATCCACTGCTTCCAAGTTTCTAATGGTGCTCTAACATTGATCGATTCATGGTTTCAAAAATGTGTAACTTAACAATCTTCACAACCCCGTAATGCAAATTTCCTAACTGACAATCATACAACTAGTGAATTGTTTTCTTTCCTGTATATATCTAAAACGGATTCACAGTACACACATACTTACACATTGTAAAATGACTGTACAAAAAGACCCAGGCAATTTTAATTACTACTCACATTGAAATAATCAATAACATTGATTTTCTATTGGGTTATTATATTTTTTTATTCCACATATCACACAAAGCCAATTTCATTGTATTTCGAACGTTTTTTTTGGCTCTAATCCCATTCTCCAAATATTATCTTTTTAAAATTATTATGTAAATAAACAGTGTGTGTGTGTTTGTGTGATAATCCGAACCGGAATTGAATAGTTTTTCATGTTCATACTAATGTTGTGCAGATGTGTGTTTTTTTTTCTAATCAACTTTAGTATAACAGAATAAGAAAATAATGATAAGCATAGAAATGGTCATTGGTTTCATGTTGTATGATACTGATAAACTTAAGAAGCAGATCAATTAAAAACGTGGAGTTTATTTAGTGGATAACCAAATTGTTTTTTTCAATTATTTTTTAATTAGTAAATCATGTATTCTATACAAACATTGTCAGTGTAATTTAAAAATGAAAATAGGATAGTGGGGAGTTTTTTTTGCCGTCTTGGTAACATGACGAATGTGAATATGTATTACGGGGTTGTGAAGATTGTTAAGTTACACATTTTTGAATGCCGGCCCAGTGGTCTGATGGTTAGGCGTTCGCGCAAAATGCCAAGTTCCTGGGTTCGAATCCTGCGGGGTACTGGAGTCGTGGATGCGCGGGCCTGATGAATCCACTACCAGGACGAAACGGCCGTCTTTCAGTGCTTTCAGGTTTCTAATGATGATCTAACATTGATCGATTCATGGTTTCAAGAATGTGAATATGTCATAATAAAATTATTCCTGTAAATAAACATTTCTTCTCGAATGTAGATTTTATTCAAACTGTAATCTAGAATTTACCAAATGAAACTATGTGTAACTTAAATTATTTTTTTTCCTTTTCGTAGAGTTCCCTGCACAAACTGACATTCATTAGACTAGTCAAGGTAGGGGGGCGGTGGGCGAAAACTACAAAACTCTGCATAGTTCTTTCATCCTCATTTGGTGGGCAACGATTAGATTTTTTTTCTTTTTTTAAAAGATGTAGGCAATAATTTTTATAAAATTTATTTTAATCTCAAGTGAATTACGAACTCATGCATTATTGGTTTTGTTCATTGGGAAAAAACAATATTGGCGTTTTTATTCGTAAATCAGAAATTCCATAAAACGATTCATCTCTCTTTCGTTTGATTTTCGTTGTTTTGATTACTATTACAAGATTAAAGTGGTCTGTCAGTACATATGTACATATGCATTACGGGGTTGTGAAGATTGTTAAGTTACACATTTTTCGAAACCATGAATCGATCAATGTTAGAGTATCATTAGAAACCTGAAAGCACTGAACGGCCGTTTCGTCCTGGTATGGGACTCCTCAGTAGTGCGCATCCACGACTCCAGTACCCCGCAGGATTCGAACCCAAGACCTTCGGTATTGTACGCGAACGCCCTAACCACTGTTGAGGAGTCCCATACTAGGACGAAACGGCCGTTCAGTGCTTCCAGGTTTCTAATGGTGGTCTAACATTGATCGATTCATGGTTTCGAAAAATATGTACATATGTATTTTTTTAAAAAAAATTCAAAATAGTTTAAATGTACTAGGTCAATATTATTATTTCATTTCATCTCTTTTTTATTTTTTAATTTTCTTTTTACTTTAGTTCATTAAATACTTTTACAGAAGAAAAAACTATGTGTAGTTCCAATGCGTTCCAATCAAAATGGAAGCTTATACATGAATCTCCTGCGGAATCAGTTAGAAAAACTATTTCAGCTACGAAAACATTACATGATAATGAACAACAGAAATCTTTGCCAAAATTATTACTAGCTACAAATAATTCTATTGAGTCAATTGAATCGATATCTACTTCAAAGAATACATTATTACGTCATATTGATTCATTGGGACAAGTAAGTGTTGATAGTTATGCAATTATCTTATTTACTTACTTACGCCTGTTACCCCCAATCCAGCATAGGCCGCCAACCAGATTTCTCAAACAAACTCTGTCCTGGGCTTCCTTCTCTAGTTCTGTCCAATGTTTGTTCATTCCTCTCATATCTTTCTCTATTTCTCGACGTAATGTGTTCTTTGGCCTTCCTCTTTTCCTTTTGCCTTGAGGGTCCCATGTGAGGGCTTGTTTCGTTTGGAGCTTTTCGTAGTGCATGTTCTATCCACTTCCACCGCTTCTTCCTGATTTCCTCCTCCACTGGAATCTGGTTTGTTCTCTCCCACAGTACGTTGTTGCTGATGGTGTATGGCCAACGAATCTGAAGTATTTTGCGTAGTATGCAATTATCATATATACATGTATATGTAAACTGATGAATAGGTTTCTGTTTTCTGAATCACAATGCTTCTTTTTATCCGGATTTTAAACAAGGAATAATTTAGGATACTGTTTTTATCGATTTGGTAAATGCTTTTCAAATAATACTGTTGTGATCATTAGATCCCCAGAACTTACTTTGCAAAAGTACTAATTTTTGATTTTTTTTTATGTTTTCCCGCATAAGTCGCTCACTTTGTAGTGAAGGAGAACACAGGTGAGGGCAACCGAATTGTATTTATCGCAAAATTACAGAGTTACTCAGTAAAATAGGAAAACCATATTGTAACCGTTAATTTGCAAATCTTAAATCCATCATCTATCCATTGTCTGACATTTCACTATTCATGCGTTTCATACAAATTCCATTGTGTTCCCACTCTTCCTTTCTTGATCTTCTCCCATCTTCTGTTGCCAGATATTATGTTTACACTCGCGTCATATACTACTTATAAGTAGCGCGCACCACAACTTGACTGTGAGCTTACATTTCCCACTCAGAAAATTCTTGAGTGTCATTGGCCGGTGGATTATTTTGTAAGCTATTATTTCGGCTCTCTTTAAAGGACGTTTCTATCATGTATAAATTAGCTCGATTTGTATGCTTGTTGACCTCGTATCTTCTAGGTGCTTGTAGAATATACACTCTCTACGTCTTATCAAGATTTATTGATGTAGTTACCCTAACCGAGGACAATCGGATTAGAATAGCCTATCGTATCACTGGATCATTTGTCTTCGTTCTCGTTTACCGAATAAGGTGAACTTGTAATAGCATTGAAGCATATTAAATACAAACTATAGCGTTAGTCATTTAAGTATCTTAAATTCAATATGTACGTGTCACATCGGTTATGTAAGTTATGTAGTGAAACACACGTTAATATATATTTTCTAACAAATTGAAGTCTTTGGTTTGTTGTTATTGTACTCATTGTTTTTTATTGACAAAACATTTCACACTTCTAATTTTATATACTCATAATTTTATTATTTTTTTTCATGGCATCATATTCTACTCTTAAATCTCATTGTCTTGTTGAAATTCTAACCAAATTCCTGATGCAGTACGTGATAGTACCAGATGTAATTGAGTTTTTCTTTTTAATTGTAGTATTATTTACAAAACTATATATTTTTTAAGATGTATGTATTTAGAAAATGGTAACATTTTTGATAGCTTACTATTATGCGGATAATATAAATCATTAAGATGTCGGTAGTCTACACAGAGTTGGAGCAAGGAATGTTTCTTCTTCATAAGAACAATAGGTGACGCCCAGGGGGGACGATGAAGGAACTATAATCTTTTTATCTAATATATCCTTTATCATAGACTCCAATTGTGGTCGGTAGTGTACGGGTACTCTGCGAGGCGGCTATCGGAAGGGCATATGGTCCCCTGTGAAAATAAAGTGTTGTACTGTATTCGTACGATTTCCAGAAATACTTTCTTCGAACACAGAACTAAACTGTTGGAGCATAGCAATCGTTGTATGACGATCATTTTCCTTTATTATGTGGTTGCTTTGTACCTGACGTATCAGCTCTGAAATTCCAACATGGGATACAGGCTTAGTCGTCCATTCATAATGCCCTATCCATATATATGGAGACTTGGTGTACGAACATAAAATCCACGCCCAGTATCATGTCCCAGGTTAATGTAGGGCAAACTAAGAACTCATGATGAACCGAATTCCTCTCTATCCTTGAGTCTAATACTGTCGTATAACACACTTTAAGGAGTCATACAGAATATATATATATATATATATATATATATATATACATAAATGTTTGTGAGTCTATAACTTAAGTAATCAACTGTATGCACAATATCTAAGTCACCGCTACACCATCATAATGATTTAATCAGGAAACTATGAACTAAGTACCTGCCTTGTCTTCGCACAGAGAAATTTTACATCAGTAGTTTTTTCACATACTACGTTTAAAGTGATTTTTATGAAAGAAAAAGCTTATTGAAAAACATTCACACTTGTTTTCTTTTTTAAAAAAAATAATGTTAACTAAAGTTAATACAACAATTACAGTAAAAAATATCTAAAAGTTTAATTAATTTTGTAAATAATTTTTAGCTACTTATAATTTAAATTATTAATATTTATCAGTTGAACTACAAAAATTATATATTCATTATATTGTCAAAAAAAATTTCTAATTAAAAACGGAATTCAACATGTAGGTTAATTAATTAATTAGAAAAATTAAAATAATTATGGAAGAAATGTTTGTTTACTGATGAGTTTTGCAAAACTATGGCTAGGTGGGTTTGTATTTTCAACAACCGAGGGAATACAAACTTCTTAATAATCATTGAAAATTTATTTTTATGAATTTGAATAGTGATCTAACTTAGTTTATTTAAAGACTTTTAGTTTATACTCTAAGTATTTTTTGGGGGAAAATTATGAAACCATTATTTCATTATCATCTCGTGAGGATGTGTAACAGTGTCTGTCATTGAAGGGTGTACCAAAGAAGTGTATTAACTTTATAAAGGCTCTCTAATCACACATTACTGTTCGAATCAAAGCTTATGGTGAACTGTCATCAGAATTGACTACCTCAAGTATTTTTTCATCAGGGTTGTCCACTTTCTCCATTGTTGTTTAACTTTGTCATTGACGTGATTTTAGATAAGACACTTTCATCATCTAAATTTTCAGGAGTAGAACTGTTACCAAAAAATTCACTTATTGACTAAGAATATGCCGATGACACTGTTCTATTTGATGAAGATGCTGACAAAATGCAGAGTCTTCTGACTAACTTAAGCAACAATACAAGCATGTTCAAGATGCAAATTTTCGCTTCAGGACTGGTTTACATCGGCATCTGAACTAGTGATAGGGAGTGAAGTAGTTAAGCGTGTAGACCGCTTCACTTATATCGAGACTCTCATCAGTGCCGATGGCCTGGTGTGTGACGAAATCTCAACACGGATGCAGAAGGCTCTGCTGGCTTTCGCCAACTTGCGTCACTTATACTGTGGGCGAGATATCTGTTTGCCAACCAAATGACGAGTTTTCTGCACAGAAGTGCACTGCGTCCTACGATATGGATATATCCTGGGACCACCGAGTAAGCGATGCTGGTGTTCGGAAAAGTGTACTAAGTAAGGATGACAGAACAATTATTGACGTAGTGAACTTTCGTAAGTCGATGTGTTCGGTATATGTGATATGAATGCCCAACCACCGACTACCTTGATGAGCCGTGTTTTGTGATGTATGGGTGGGCTGGAAGAAAGCTCGACCGGAGCAAACCAAAATATGGCAAAAATCCATGTAGTCATTGACTACTGGACTGAGCCATGTAAGTAGGTATAGCATACCTGTCTCAGGTCCTCAAGATGATAGTAATCGATGATTAGAGACTTTGAATGACATGGCTTAAAATCGTCTGCAATGACGCAGGTGCATACGTTCGTTGCGTTCCCTCAAATTCTGATACACTGAATTCCTTATTGCCTTCATCTTACTTTTCTTGAATTTATTTCACTGGATTATACTTCTTGAATAACATCTCCGAACCTTAATATTCTCCGTTATCACTATTACTTCTACTTCATCTATCACTATGGGATTTGAATTGACTATCGCATCAGTATGGTAATATTGTGTTGTCATTCGAACTGTTGTATGTACTAATAAATGTCTACACATTGTAACTGACTAACTGATTTCATGTCAAACATTCATGAAGTCATCAATAATTTTTTGAATTTTAAATGTTACGTTTTTATACATCATTTTATTTGACTGAGATAATCTTCCAAATTTTTAAATCAATAATCCACACATTCAAAATTCTTATGATTTGGTTAACAAGAAAACACCACACAGTACATAGAAGTTCGTTGTTTGATCATTGTAACAATATTATTGATAAAACTGAGATATTTTTGAATAAACAGTTTGTAAATGAGATAAAATAAACAATCTGATTTTATAATATCGTTAAAAGATGGTCATATTGCGGACCTGTTCATATCCACTGATCAACTGTGGTATACAGATTAACACCTTTCTACATATATAAGTATTCCAATTATAATTCACTTACTAAAGCAGGATATCTGTCAAATTTTTTTACCCTAATTTCTTTCGCTTGATCATTGTTTTAACTCAATTGTTGTTTGAAATGTACACATGGAAATTTGTATTCTCCATTCGCTGAAATATTTTTATACATTTGAAATCCACAATCAGTCATTGTTATACCACCATTAGACACCTGGAAGTACTGAAAGACGGCCGTTTCGTCTTGGTAAGCGACTACTCATCAGAAGTGCGCATCCACGACTCCTGCTCCTCACAGGATTCGAGCCCGGGACCTTCGGTATTCTGCGCGAACGCCTAACCATTGGACGACTTGGTCGGCATCCAGTGGTGTTAATGTCTAACTCTGAGTGATCTAGGGATTTTGCATGACCTCACCCATTTGTCTTTGGTAGTTACTGCCTACACCCGACAGGGATGAACTCCACTGGTCATGTCTTCTCACTAGAACTCCGAGAATTTGCTTACGAAGCCAGTAGTCACTAGTGAGCACTGTTACGATATTTTCAGGCAGAGCTTTCGGGGTTTGTGTTTTTACACATCTAATGGTGGTCTAACAATGATTGATTGATGATTTCAAACATATGAATATCTTATACAAAACCAAATGAGGTAAAATAATATTTTGCTATCTGTCAAACTAATTTGCAAAATTAAAATCATTGTTATTTTACGAATATTGTTTCTTGATGAGCAAATATTATCATCTGTGATTGAGTTACTTTTTTTCTCTTAAACTATTTTCAGGTAAGCAGTGTACAAACAAGAATAACTGGTAACGGTCAACATGAGCTGATTATTTTACATCGTGGTACAAACACCTGGAATTTTAATTCATTCAATAAAGAATTTATTTATCAAAATGGTGAAGAATATATAAATACTGAAACAATTGTTCATTTGAATCCGATTACCGGTGATGTGACTATGAAATGGGGACGTAATATGTTTATTTTACCGCATAGTATTACACTGAGTTATTATGACATGAATACTAATGTGACTGATGATCAAGTTTTACGTCAACAACAACAACAACGTCGCTACAGTGAAGGAAAACCTACTTCTGTATGGATCACTGATGTGGCATTGCATCAAGTATTCAAATTTGATTGGATGAAATGGGATAGACCAAGTTTGACTTTAGGTATACCTGGTAAACCAGGTGATAATAAACATCAATTTTGTCAACCAACTGATGTTGCAATATCTAGTACAGTAAGTCTGTTTGATTAAAATCTGTTTTAGTGTATAGACTATATATATATATATGATTTTAAATCTTCGCTGATAAATTTAGCGAGCATACATTTTGACTTAAAGACACCTAAACGATGATGTTTCATTGTCTTCGAAAAAGACATTGGCTAAAATATATGATCTAACTATCTTTTCAAATTCACCATAGTGACCTGATTGTCCATTTAAACCAACTGTACAAATAACCTGATTCCAAATAAAAATAGACCGAATCGAACAGTGGAATGCAGGAAGTGTGTTTCGTCCTATTTCGGAACTCGTCAGCTAAGTGTGCTAGCACTTGAGAGTTGTTGTTCACTCTAGAGAACGAATTTATTAACTTTCTCTTCAAACATCATTGTGGCAATCCTCATAGGATGTATAAATGACAAATAACAGTGATCACTTACAGCCCCTCCCCAACTGTCAATGGGACAGTTCACTTAACTAATAACAATGTATTCATAAACTGATTAGTTTAGTTGATTTTACAGCAGCACTAGTCTTACTGATAAATAACAGAAAAAAGAACTAGTTATTCATTGAAAAGCATGAAAGTAAACAAGATTAGTCATTATTAGTTGCTGTGGCGAAAATCACCGTTTTCTTTTTCAGAGATTTCATTATTAACAATCAGGTAATTAGAATGATCTGTTTTGATAAAATAGTCATCTAACAATCAGCACATTATACAATTCATAATCAATATTATGAATTAAGTAATTGGAAATATGAACTTGATTATTTTAGAGAGCAGACCAGAGAAAACCAAGCTGGTTTCAGACATGGACGTGGCTGTATAGACCACATTTTCACACTACAACAGGTCCTGGAATACAAACACATATTTAGGAGTCCGATAATAGTTGTCTTCCTTTACATTCAAGCGGTATTTAACTCTGTGGATCGTGAGGTTCTATGACAGTGTGTGTCATTAAAAGGTGTACCAAAGAAGTACATTAACCTCATACAATCTATCTACTCTAACACTTACAGGTCGAATGAGAGCTTACAGAGAACTGTCTTAGGAATAATTTACTTCAAGTGGTCTCCTTCAGGAATGTCTACTTTCTCCATTCTTGTTTAATTTTGTCATAGACATGCTTCTAGATATAACATTATCTTCGTTTGAACTTTCAGGGGTGGATCTTCTACCAGGAGATTCATTGGTTGAATTTGAACATGCCGATGATATAGTTCTATTTGATGAAGATGCTGACAAAATGCAGTATCTACTGACTACCCCAAGCAACAATGTAAGCATGTTCGGGATGCGATTCTCTCCGTCGAAGTGCGAAATGTTGCCTCAGGATTGGCTAGTATCAGCACCTGAACTAGTGATAAGGAGTGAAGTAGTTGAGCATCTGGGGAGTCGCATTAGTGCTGATGGCCTGGTAACTGACGAAATCTCAGCACCGAAATTAAAGGCTCGATTGGATTTTTCCAACTTGCCTCACTTATGGCGTAGGCGAGATATCCGTTTGCTGACTAAAGCACGAGTGTGCTGTGCAGTATTTCGTACCGTCCTACTATATGGTCGTGAAACATGGCCAGTCAGAGTAGTAGATATTCGTAGGTTACTGGTTTTCGATCATAGGTCTCTTCGAAGCATTGCTCGTGTATCCTGGAACAACCGAGTGATCAATGCTGTTATTAGGAAACGGGTGCTAGGTAAGAATGGCAAATCAATAGATGAAGTGCTGAAACTTCATCAGTTGAGGTAGTTGGGAAATGTGTTGCGTATGCCTAACCACCGACTGCCTCGTCGAGCCTTGTTTTGTAGTGTAGGAGTTGGTTGGAAGGCCAAACCGAAACATGGCACAAATCCATGAAGTCATTGACGAGTGGAATTAGCCATGTCGGTAGTTGTCGACTACCTGGTTGGGGTCCGCGAGATGATAATAGTCGATGATTAGAGACCATGAATGACACGGCTCAAAACCGTTTGCAATGGTGCAGGTGAATTCATTCTTTGTATTCTCTCAAATCCCAACCTTCATAGTTTCCCATCACATTTATCTCTTCTTTTTAAGTTAATTTCACTGGATTATACTTATGGCATAGTATCGTCAAACCCTAATCTTTCCAATTACTGCTAATACTTCTACTATCTCTACCACTATAGGAATTGATGTGACAACTGCATCTCAGTGCTAATGTGTGATATGGCAACTTGAACTGATATACATAAATACCTACAAAATTTCTACATTGTTGTTGATTGATCAAATAATACTGTTTTTAAGTTTTAACAGAATTTGAAATAGATAGTACTAATATTAATTATCATCATTTAAAAGAGTAGACAGTTTCATTTAAACATAGAACACGTTTATCTAATCTCATATTGCAGATAACAATCATATTTATGTCAGTACATTTAATTTTTAACTTTTTTTTAATAATACAGGGTGATATATTTATTGCAGATGGTTATTGTAATGCACGTATTGTAAAATTTTCATCAAATGGTACTTATCTAACAGAATGGTCAGCTTTAGGTGCATCATCATCATCATCATTCAATCATGAATATCAACACCATGATACAACATGGCATATACCTTTAACAATATCATCATCACCAGAAGATTGGTCAAATGAATTGCTCTATACTGATTCCAATTATCCATTGAATATGGATATGAAAGAATTCGATTTTAATATCATACATAGTTTAACTATAATTCCAAGTGATGATGATGGTACACTTGAACAAATTTGTGCAGCGGATAGAGAGAATGCAGCTGTATTATGTTATACATTAGATGGAAAATTGATAAGACGTTATGCAGATTCTTCATTACAACCTTCAATTTATGCAATTCAATATGATCCAATTCATAAGTAAGGTTTTTGTATTGATTTTTTTAATTGATGTGAATACGATGTGTGGTTTGTGCTATGTCATAAAGAACACTGAAGAATACAGAATCATTCAACAATGATGAAGTGAAACTATGAAGGCATTTTTAAGGATTATTGACATGATGGGCAGTGACATAATTGGCCAAAGTGCAAGCGATGTAGGAAATCGATTCTGTCTGCTCTGTTTGACTTTTAATCATATTCAAGATGGAGATACTATAAACTTCAGTAACTTCCTTACTTACGCCTGTTACCCCCAATGGAGCAGAGGCCGCCAACCAGTTTTCTCCAACCAACTCTGTCTGTCCTGGGCTTCCCTCTCCAGTTCTTACCAATGTTTGTTCATTCCTCTCATATCTTTCTCTATTTCTCGGCGTAATGTGTTATTTGGTCTTCCTCTTTTCCTTTTCTCTTGAGGGTTCCATGTGAGGGCTTGTCTCGTGATGCATTTAGGTGCTTTTCGTAGTGTGTGTGTTCTATCCACTTCCACCACTTCTTCCTGATTTCCTCGTCCACTGGAATGTGGTTTGTTTTCTCCCACAGTAAGTTATTGCTGATGGTGTCCAGCCAACGAATCAGAAGTATTTTGCATAGTCAACTGTTAATAAACACTTGTATCTTGTGGATGATGGCTTTGGTGTTTCTCCAAGTTTCCACTCCATACAGTAGAACTGTCTTCACATTTGTATTGAAAATGCTGATTTTGGTTTTGGTTGAAAATTGTTTGGAGTTCCAGATATTTTTCAGCTGTAGAAATGTAGCCCCTGCTTTGCCAATTCGCGCCCTCACATCTGCATCGGATCCCCCTTGGTTGTCGATGATGCTGTCCAGATATGTATTACAACAATATACTTTGACGATATTCATTGAAACCATTTGGGACCTGAAAGCACTGGACGGCCGTTTCATTGTGGTATGGACTCATCAGTGGTGCGTACCAACAACCCATACTTGAGCGAATTGGCACAGGACCTTTGGTACAGAGTATGAACGCCTAACCTCTAGACCACTGCATAGGCATCCAAAGTTGTTCATGTTTAACTTCAATCAATCCACATCTTGCCCGACCTCATCCATTGTCTTCGATGGGCACTACTTCATACTCGACAGGGTTCAATCCCGAGAATTTCAACACGAAGCTAATAACTAGTGAGCACAAGATAGTTTTCTTGATAAGGCTGTGGAGATTAGTGAATCTCACTGCTGACGAGTCCTAAACTAAAAATGAAACGACCGTCCAGTGCTTCCAAATTTCTAAAGGTGATCTGACTGCAATCAGTTCATGATTTCAATGAAACACAACAATCTCCACAACCCAATCCTGTACGTTTATAACGATATTGTAAATTATATTCATTTAATAAGTCAACGGTCCTAATTCACTGTCCTAAAATCCACTCATCATTTTGCAATGAAACATATATAGTCTTGTAAAATATTCTTGTTGTTCTAAGTGAGATATAAGATAAAATCCTGATTATTGAATAAACAGAATGAATCTGTAGTGTGGTTATTGAGTTGTTGGTTTTAATATCACATTTTCCCTAACTACAATAATTACTTACTGACTTACTTACGCCCGTTACCCCCAGTGAAGCAAAGGCCGCCAGCCAGTTTTCTCCAACCAACTCTATCTGTCCTGGGCTTCCTTCTCCAGTTCTGTCCAATGTTTGTTCATTCCTCTCATATCTTTCTCTATTTCTCAGCGTAATGTGTTATTTGGTCTTCCTCTTTTCCTTTTGCCTTGAAAGTTCCATGTGAGGGCTTGTCGCAATTTGATGCTTTACGTAGTGCGTGTCCCATCCACTTCCACCGCTTCTTCCTGACTTCCTCCTCCACTGGAATCTGGTTTGTTTTCTCCCACAGTACGTTGTTACTGATGGTGTCCAGCCAACGAATCAGAAGTATTTTGCGTAGACAACTGTTAGTAGACATTTGTATCTTGTGGATGATGGCTTTGGTGTTTCTCCAAGTTTCCACTCCATACAGTAGAACTGTCTTCACATTTGTATTGAAAATCCTGATTTCGGTTTTGCTTGAAAGTTTTTTTTGGATTTCCAGATATTTATCAACTGTAGAAATGCAGCCCTTTCTTTGCCAATTCGCGCCCTCACATTTGCATCAGCTATAATGGTGAATGACATAAATTTAAATCTTTAGAAAAGAATCACCTCTTGTAAAACCACTGATGCACCATACAATTCAGTGAACCATTACCAATCTAAATCAATAGCATATAGTTCCGATCACCTCTGACTATTTTCAAGCAGACAAATACGTCACGATATCCAGTTATTGAGGTTACTTACTTCTTACTTAATTACTTACACCTGTTACCTCCAATGACACATAGGCCATCGACCAGTATTCATCAATCGACACTGTCTTTGGCTTCCTTAGCTTCCCAGTTCTATCCAATTCTTGTTCATTCTTCTTATGTCAGTTTCGATTTCTCGGTGTAATATATTCCTTGACCTTCCTTTTTTTTTCCTTTAACCTTGAGGATTTCAAAATGAGTGTTATTCAGTTTAATAACCATATTCTAACTTAATGGGCATGATTCCCATCAGTTCAATGAATTAGCATGCAGTCATGTGTTATTATCCATAAACTATTCAGTCAGATGATGTATTCTTTTCAATCCTTTGTAACTATTTCTATGAGTTCACTTGTTACAATGTTTATTTTTGTCTGCTTTGTTATAATAATATTATGGCATATGTTATTTTAGTGGGAAAAAAAGAAGAGAATGATTATGTCTGATCATGTGTTTTATAGTAAATGAAAAAAAAATAGACATACAATTTTGATAAATGTTTATCAAGACTATTTGTCAATGAAAAAATAAAATTCAGTAGAAAATAGTAAACTTAATGAGATAAAGCGAAAAAAAATCTACATTTAAATAAAAAGAAACATTGTATTATGCACTGCTTGTGACCACATTCATTAATATGCTTGAACTGTTGTTACAAGTTTACTTTAGTTAGTAAACGAGATCGAGGATCGGTGATTGGGTGAAATGACAAGTTAGTCTAATCCGAATGTCCCAACTTACTTACTTACTTACTTACGCCTGTTACCCCCCATTGGAGGATAGGCCGCCAACCAGTTTTCTCCAACCAACTCTATCTGTCCTGGGCTTCCTTCTCCAGTTCTGTCCAATGTTTGTTCATTCCTCTCATATCTTTCTATATTTCCCGGCGTAATGTGTTCCTTGGTCTTCCTCTTTTCTTTTTGCCTTGAGGGCTTGTCTTGTGACGCATTTAGGTGCTTTTCGTAATGTGTGTCCTATCCACCAACTCCACCGCTTCTTCCTGATTTCCTCCTCCACTAGAATCTGGTTTGTTTTCTTCCACAGTACGTTCCGAATGTCCTAAAACACCTATTAAATAGAAGAAGAAAAGACTTGATATGAAGTAGAACGTGTATTGTACAAGCATCCAGAAAGTACGAAGTTTGATTCAGTCCAGAAGAGAAGAAGGATCCCAGACTAAGGATCTGGATCATGAAACGTTATGGGTAATGCAATATTTATACAGTTAGGTTGGATAGGAAACACCATTTGAAGAATGTGACATTGTTAGTTAGGAATAATAATTCTCTAAGGATATTGGATGAATATCTTAACACATTGAAACTTGATATTTTCTTGATGGTTCTATTAAAAAGTTGTAATTAATTTCTGATACAACTTATGAAAGATCCTGCGTAATCGCAAGAGTTTGAGATAATGCTTTTACAGTTAAATATTTTAATACATCTCAAACTATTGTAGTACAGTTTTCTATTTATAAAAATCAATGATTATTCAACCCTAGTATCATCTATACTCAATCTATTCTAGTAAGCTATTAAAAACCCAACTATTATAGAAACAAAACTAGTTATTTTTCAAGATTATTTACTGTTTGGTTACTTCTATGGAGTATTCGTATTTTATAGAAGAATGAAATAAGTCTTCTCATTGCTTATGTTCAGAATTATATAAATTCACGCTCAGTTGGGTAGGGTAATTTTTTTATTGGGATTCAGGAGAACCAAACACTGCCCACATGTTAATACTACAAGGTGAACAGTATGGCTCAATGCTGTGGAGCAATCGCACAGGTACTTGACACCCTGGTGGACCAGTCACACCATTTATATACACCAGTACATATATAGTGATTATTTCCGATCCATGATCGCTTCGTCAATCAATATGCACCGCATGAACAGGTCTATTCGACCCCATCATGCTTACTTGACTGTCAAACTTATAATTATTAGCGATAACGATATGCAATACCGCACCCTAATGACAACGGCGTTCGAGAATGTTGCAAAGCAACCACTAGAAATCGGTCGCCCTGCTAACCGAATTTGTGTATGGACTATTAAAAATACTTGCCAAATTAATACCGAGCCATCCACAATGTTCACAACGAACCTCTGGGTCTCATCGGAAACCTTCAACTCCATATAGTAATACAGCTTACAAATCAATATGATTTCGATAGTTCAATAATCAATATAAGAATCTGTCACATAAAAAGGGGAACCAACTTTAAGAAGCGCTGAATTAGTAAATTTAATGCACTGTCTACTAGACTAGCGTTTGGAACGTTAGATCCCCAGGACTCACTTGATAAAGGTCCTAATTTCGGATTTTATTCATGTACCGATCAGTTGACATTGAGATTACATTCCCCACTATACTAGTCCCTGTTCTTTTTACCACGAAAAGTAACATTATACACGTTGTTTTAAAATCACACTTCAAACTAAATTTAAGAGACGTGACCAGTGAAGTTCAACCTGTTCGGGTGTAGACAGTAACTACCGAAGACAATGTATGAGATTGCGCAAGACTGTAAACTGATCAAGTTGGACATTAACACCGTTAGATACCGGCTCAGTGGTCCAGAGGTTAGGCGTTCGCGCGCAAGACCGAAGGTCCTGGGTACAAATCCAGTTAGGTGCAGGAGTAGTGGATGCGCACTGCTGATGAACATTCTCATACCAGAACGAAACGACCGTCCAGTGCTTGTGGGTTTCTAATGGTGGTCTAACACTGCTCGATTCATGGTTTCAAAAATGTGTAACTTTAATTGTTTGTTTGTGTTGATATAACAAATGAGATATCTTTAAAAAAAATCCAAAGTATTTAATGTCGGTCACGTTTTAAAGTCAAACACAAACTCACAAGCACACAGGGAATCTATGTCTATTTGTTTCATTTAATCAATATATACAGAGAATAATGTAACATTGAGGTTATTTGTCATTGGTATTTAACAGTCTATTGATTAGTTAACGAGCACTGGTACGTTTAGTATGGAAGATGGAAGGGAAAACTTTCTGGTCAGCAAATATATTTGTAGTTGAATGATAACTTACAAATTGTGCATTATAGAGACATAATAGGATGTAACTAAAAATACTCAGTGAATGACCTTTATTTCAAAAAAATTCAGGTCATTCTGTATAGGTTTTAAGTAATTACATATAACAATCAAATTAAGCCAGTTGGAGTTCATAAATCAAGGAGATAAGCATGAAACATGAAACCTATTCCCAGCAAATCAATAAAAACGATATCTAGATGTACCACAAGCCTCCCTGAAGTACTTCAGTCAAATGGTTTCTTTCTCATGATTAAATTACGTGTTAATTTAGACATGAAAGGTCTTTGAAAAATTTCAACAAAGGTAATATCTGAGAAATTTGAACTGATACGGTGAAAAAGATACGGTATGATTGTGATTGATGAAAGACGCTTCAACTACGAAGCAAAGAATACTCTTGAAATATCACTATCAAAAACGTTTTTTTGAACATGAATACTTTAATTGTTTGAACTTGAGATGAAATTTTAAAAATCAATCACATAGATTGTGAATCATCTGTTTGTGAATAAATTAATATAATTATATTCAGTGTCGTTCAATCTTTAAATATATTCAGTCAGTCAGTCAGATGCAACGTCGAACTTCATACGTAAGTACATCAGTTCAGGTTGCCATACCACATCAGCACAGAGATATAATTGTCAATTCAAATACAATAGAAGAAGAGTTAGTAAGGGTTATTAGAAGTAATCGGAGAGGTTAGGATGAGAAGATATTCAAGAAATGTGATTCACTGAGAAAAGTTTAGAAAGTCAAAACTAGAGGTGTTGTAGAATCCAGAAGATTAGGATTTGAGAGAATACAAAGAATAAATGCACCGGCACCACTGCAAACGGTTTTGAGCCATGTCATTCAGGGTATCTAACCATCGATTATTATCATCTCGCGGACCCCAACCAGGTAGTCGACAACTACCGACATGGCTAATTCCACTCGTCAATGACTTCATGGATTTCTGCCATGTTTTGGTTTGACCGCCCCTAGCTTTCTTACAACCTATTTCTACACTACAAAACAAGGCTCGACGAGGCAGTCGGTGGTTAGGCATACGCAGCACATGTCCCAATCACCTCAACTGATGAAGTTTCACTACTTCATCTATTGACCTGCCATCCTTACTCATCAATGTCTATGATAATTATATCTAATTTCCTGAACAAAAACTATGAATATGTTCAATGGTTTTACCAACGTTACACAAAATAAACATCCTCTGACAATAAATCTAACTTCATTTTACACTATTCAAATGAAATTAAATAAAAATTAATTTGAAATTTCTGTATAAAATAGAGACAATTATAATTGAATTGTTCAGTCAGATGAATAAATCATCAATGGCATTTGGAAGTAGATTAAAATCAAACTTATTTATTTATGACGAATAATAAAAAATAATGGTCATTTGATATTACTTAGTCATTTTAAAATTAATCAAATCAATGCGGGTACACTCATTTACTAACTTTTTTTCCTCGATCGAATAGTTAACGCATTTAAAATCATCAATCAATCATTGTTACTAGACCACTATTAGAAACCCACAAGCACTGGTTGGCCGTTTCGTTCTGATATGGGACTCGTCAGTGGCAGTGCGCATCCAAGACTCCTGCCCCTCACAGGATTGGAACCCGGGACCTTCCGTATTGTGCGCGAACGCCTAACGATTGTACCACTGGGCCGACATCCAACGGTGTTAATGTGTATAATGTGTAAAAACGCTAATCTCCATAACTGTAATTAAAAATACCTTAAAACGTGCTCACTAGTGACTTGCTTTGTGAAGAAATTCTCGGAGTTCTAGTGAGAAGACGTGACCAATGGAGTTCAACCCTGTCGGGTATAGACAAAAACTACCGAAGACAAATGGGTGAGGTAGCGCAAAATCTGTAGATTGATCAGAGTTAGACATTAACACCGTTAGATACCAGCTCAGGGGTTCAGATGTTATGCGTTCGCGCACAATCCTGAAGGTCCTGAGTCCGAATCCTGCGAGTGGCAGGAGTCGTGGATGCGCACTGCAAATGATGAGTCCCATACCAGGACGAAACGACCGTCCAGTGCTTGTGGGTTTCTAATGGTGGTAGTCTAGCAATGACTGATTGATGATTTCCAATGTGAAAAACACTAATCTCCTTAACTCTAATTGAAAATAATTACCTGATATAGACTAATTCATTTGTTTCAAATTCGATCTCATTTTCATATCCGTTTGTCTGATTTTTATTAATTGAGTAACATCAATTCAATTGATTACTGGTTTAATAAATGAAAACATAACATATCACTTCATACAATTTGTTTCGTTATTCAGTTTGAAAACAGAACAAAAAAATTGCACAGAGTATGTAGAATGAAATGACTTCAATTTTATTCCATAGTTTCATTGCATCGATTTTGAACTGCATAAACTTATTTAAAGAGATGGAGATTGTTGTTTATCACCGAAATAATGAATCAATCGTCATTGTTAGACCACACCATTAGAAACCTAAAAGCACTGGACGGTTGTTTCGTCGTGTTATGGGACTACTCATCAGTGGCAGTACGCATCCACGGCTCCTACTCCTCACAGGATTCGAAACTAGAGCCTTCCGTCTAGTATAGGAAAGCCTAACCTATGGACTCGTGAATGCGCACTATTGATGAGTAGTCGCATACCAGGACGAAACGGTCTTCCAGTGGTTCTACGTTACTAGCAGGAGGTGTCTAACAATGATTGATTCATAATTATAAATAAAAACTTTGACATACTTTAGTTGGAAAAGTTTAAATCAATGTTCGCACTGGTACAGACAATTATAATCTGATGAACAAGACACAAAGTATGTGATTAAACTTAAGTCAACGATTTATGTCTATTCGTCTACTGAGACGTTGAAGTTTCAGCACTGTTTACTAATAGAGAATGTCCAAGTAACTTTCAACAGGACAACTATCCATGACTCCTGCTCCCGGAAGGACTTGGTCCCAAAACCTTCTATTTTGTGCCCAAACGCCTAACCTCTGGACCAAGAGGACGTGATTCGACGGTGTTAATATCTAACTCTGATCAATATAGGGATTGTATGCGGCCTCACCTGTTTCACGTTGGTAGTTACTGCTCACACCCAAAATAGGGTTGAAATCCACTGATCACGTCTAGAGGCTAAGTATTCGCACACTGGACCAAAAGTCCTGAGTTCCGATCCGGTGATGAACAGGATGCAAAATATATGATTAAACTTAGTCACCAATCTATGTGCGTTTTCATACCCTGAGAAACCTTGAATTTCCTACTTTGTTTACTAACAAACAACATTAAATTATCTTTCAATAAAACAGTTATTTCTATTGTTATTATATTTTATATTTTGATAATCAATAACAAATTAATTACAATTTTGCATTGCACATTTTTTTGAAACCATGAATCGATCAATGTTAGACCACCATCAGAAACCCACAAGCACTGGGCGGCCGTTTCGTCCTGGTATGGGACGACTCATCAGTGGTAGTGCGCATCCACAACTCGTGCACCCCACAGGATTCGAACCCCAGGACCTACGGTATTGTAGACGAACGCCTTACCATTGGACCACTGAACCGGCATTTAACGGTGTTACATTGATTCAGTGTAAAACGTTTGTAGCTTTTATCAAATAATACATATTGATTTCATTCTTCATAATTGTGAATATTTAACATTTTCACAATATGCATACTTTTTAGATTAATTATCGGTTTAACTGGTAGTACTTATACATCAACTGTAATTGATGCTACAACCACCAATAATGATCATCTGTTATTATTACCACCAAATTTATTCTTTATCAATCCATATAAACCAAAAAATGTGAATGAATTGAAACAGCACAAATTTCATCCTTATTGGTCAGATTTATATCAAGGTTCAGCATTGATTGGATTTTACTCAATGCAAAATGTACGCTCACCGCATGATTTGACTTTATCGCCAACAAATGATATGATTTACGTATCAGAAATCTATCCATATAAAGTACATCAATTTAAAATCCAAAATAATTCTAGTAAGTGAATAAAAATAATTTTGATATTTATTTTTTTTTAAAAAGAAAACAATAATATTATATATATATATTGATTAACGCCGTGGAATTACGTTCCAGTGGTCCAGAGGTTAGGTGTTTGGGCACAAAATCGAAGATCTTGGGATCGAGTCCTTCCGGGAGCAGGAGTCATGAATAGTTGTCCTATTGAAAGTTACTTAGACATTCTCTGTTAGTAAACAATGCTGGAAATTCAAGGTTTCAGTATACGAATACACATAAACCGCTGACTACGAGATGGTGGAGAAAACTTGTTGCTCAGGTGGATGACTGTGGTGGTGGTGTTTCGTTCTCTGAGCTGGTTGTTTTAGTTGTAGAGCTTTCATTGTTCTTCTTCCGAAGAACATCATCAGCAAAAACTTCAGATAGAAGTGAAGAGTATTCGAATTTCTCCAAGTTTGACCTGTAGCTTGTCCTGATAACCTCGATCTTGTTTGGTTGCTGTTGACCTGTCGTTGTTTGCAACTTTGTTTTGAATCCATCCCCCTTTTGATCTGTTTCTTGATCCTGTGCTGATGATGTTGTTCAGAAGAACAGCAATGAAAGCTCCACAACCAAAACAACCAGCTCAGAGAACGAAACACTACCACAACCGTTGACTACGTTTAATCACATACTTTGTGTCCTGTTCATCAGATTATAATTGTCTATGCAATCGAGAACATTCATCTAAACTTTTCCAAGTAAAGTGTGTCAAAGTGTTTATTTATAATAATACTATTACTGAAATTGTGAATCAATCATTGTTAGACCCCTCCCGCTGGACGACCGTTTCGTCCTGGTATGGGACTCGTCAGTAGTGCTACTCACAGGATTCAGTTCAGGGTGTGAACGCCTAACCATCGGACCATATATACATATGATAATTATATCGATCAGAGAGATGTTATGGGGGCAGTGTAGAAAGGATTTGTTTGTGACCAATTTGGTCTTGATCGATTTTCAACTGTTCAATAGATCAATCACAAAAAAACAAAACAAATAAATCTGCGGATTGTTTTTAATGAAGATATCATGAAGCATTCTGTTCAATGCTTTTTACTTTAAATCAACCATTGAATATGTTGTTTTAATTAACCATAATGACACAATTGCTTTTTGTATATTTTTTTAAATTACGTCAATCCGTCAATTGAAACCAATCACATTGTTAATTTATGTGTTACTACTAAGGCTTTAATTATTATGATTATAGTATTCATAACAATAATGATTGTGATTATTACTACTCCGACTACTACTACTATTATTACTACTATTACTACTATTACTACTACTACTACTACTACTACTACTACTCCGACTACTACTACTACTACTACTACTACTACCACTACTGCTACGACTACTACTACTACTATTACTACTACTACTACTACTACTACTACTACTCCGACTACTACTACTACTACTACTACTACTACTCCGACTACTACTACTACTACTACTACTACTACTACTATTACTACTATTACTACTATTACTACTACTACTACTACTACTACTACTACTACTACTACTAATGTTACTACGTCATATTTAATAGCAACATTAGTAATAATAATATTAATAGTAAACATTGTTTCGAAACATCAAATAAGGGATTTACAGAAATGTGATGATTTGTTTTTGGTACAGAATCTCAAGTGATCAAATGAATTCACAACTAATATGTGTATATATATGCATATATATGCTGGTTTAGTTTCTTGTATTCTTCAATATGATTAGTATGACACCCGTATTTTTTTATAATTGTCAAATTTATTTATTATTTCAAATAACAAATCAATGAAGCGGTGAACATGATGAATGCTGAAAGATTAAACAAATTATTTATCTTGTTTTTAACAACACATTATTGATTTGGAACTTACATTTGAAATATTATTTCCATTAAATAAAATATGCATTATAAGATGTAGTCATGAACCTAAGAGGGAATTCGATACTAAGAGAAATGAGTTACATAGTCTGGGAAATACAACTCATGCATCATTATTGATGATTAGACTAAGAGAGATAAAATAAAATGTGTACACTATGAGTCTAATCTTTTCGTCTAGTGTAAAGTCAGTCAATGAAGGGTGTTAAAGTGATGTGAGAAGGGTGAGATGTGGAGATAAGAGAGATGTTAGGAGGGGTGTAAGAAGAATTTGTTTGTGACCAGTTTGGTCTCGTGTATTGTTACGGGTATGAGGGCAGTGAGCACTTCTCGGCTGCTCACACACAGTAGAACGGTGTTTCTTGAGGAACTTGAAAAGAAACGTAGATTAGCGTTGGTCTTGGAAACCTGGTAGCGTGATCGCAGAGCCCAAGGGACAAATTCTTGAGGCAGGTCACGCAAACTGTTAGCTCCTCACTTCAAGTGGCCTTACCATCAGAGAATGAAATCCTTGGGGTAAAGGAAGGTGTGAAATTTATAGGATCGACTTTTTACAACTTCTCCCTTTCTTGTGACAAGGCAGCATCGCAGCAGATGCGGGTAGTCTGAGGGAAACGCCTTAATATGGTCAGCAGTACCTGTTTTTTGGTCTCCAAGTTCTCCGATTGACCTGCCTAGCATGGTAGAAAATACAAGAACATATGTTGCAGTCAATTAATGAAGTAGTTAATTGTTTTCTAAATTACATGTATTTCAAACTTACTTATCTATAAACTTTATTCAGGAGCCATATTCAACAACATTAAAAACACTTAACATAAGGAATTGAAAAGTCTGTGGTGGATATGCTGATGAAATAGTTCTATTCGGTGAAGACAGTGACAAAAAGTAGTGTTCGGACCACCTAAAGCACTTTCATTATTTTCGGGCAGAGTTTTGGAGGTTTGTGTTTTGTACACATTTGATATCAGCAATCACTCATTGTTAGACCACCATTAGAAACCCACAAACACTGGACGGCCGTTTCGTCCTGGTATGGAATTGATCATCAGTGCGTATCCACGACTCCTATACCTCGCAGGATTCGAACCCGGGACATTCGGTATTGTGCTCAAACGCCTAACCATCGGACCACTGGGCCGGCATTCGACGGTGTTATTTTCTAACTCTGATTGATCTAGGGATTTTACTCGACCTCACCCTTAATTGTCTTTGGTAGTTACTGCCTACACCCGACAGGGTTGAACTCCATTGGTCACGTCTTCTCAGAGTTAGACATTAACACCGTTGGATGCAGGCCAGCACAATGGTCCGATGGTTAGGCGTTCGCGCACAATACCGAAGGTCCCGGGTTCGAATCCTGCTCCTCATAGAAGTCGTGGATGCCTACTGCCACTGATGAGTCCCATACGAGGACGAAACGGCTGTCCAGTGCTCTTTGGGTTTCTAATGGTGTGGTCTAACAATGATTGATTGATTGATGCGGAGATTTTTAATAACAATTTGTATGGAATATTATTTTATAATTATGATTATAATTATTTCAATGAAGTTTTATATTATTTTAATCTATTGATATTTTTGACCTATCAATCGATCGACTGTTATGCAGGTTTGGCCATTATGAAAGGAGGACAAAATGATTTTGTACAACCGATTAGCTTAAGTGATCGTTATCCATGGAGTTTACATACACTTACATCATATCAATTAACTGGTCTTTCATTCCTTCTGTTCATTATATTCATTCTATTATTATTGGGTTGTATACGATTATGTTGGTGTAGACGACATCGTTTGAAAGGCACCACTACTACTACTATACGAAGAAATAAACGTGAATTAAATGGTAAAGTCTATGCCAATGCATCACCTAAACTTTCGTCCTCTATCACTACTACTACGAATAGTGTTTATTCACGTTGGGCAAGTAAACAAAATTCTAAACGTAATAAACAAGCCGGTTTTCGACCATTACTACGTAACAATGATAGTAATGATTATTTAGCTGAACAAGAACTTGCCGATTATGATTATGATGATGATGATGACGCTCAAAATGATGATGTTGATGTTAATGGTGATGAAGATGTACTCATGGATACTACTACTACTAATTATACCGATCGACAATTATTAAAACAAACGAATTTATTAAATAATAAACAAAAATTTATACCAAAAGTTAAAACTACTAACAATGCTAAAAGTGTACATTCAAATTCATTGTCATCTAGATTATTTAAACTGAAACCTGCTATAAACAAATCGGATTCAATTGCTTGAATAATATTGAGAAACCAATATTAAAAAAAAAAAGGAATTGTTCATCATTCAATGTGATTTTTATCATTCAATTGTCAATCGGTTTTTTTTTCTTTCGTGAAAAACAAAATTGATCGATATGTACACTTTGAAAAATAAAGATCTCGTTATTCAATCTCTTGCCTAAATATGATTGTTGTTATTCTTCCAACTAATATGATTATGTCTGACACACAAACTAAATCCATCAATAATATTCATCTCACATACATACATGTTGAAGATTATATTTTACAATTTTATTTGTTATTGTAAAAATTAAATAACCGTACGTTGTATTCATTCATTTATCGAGTCAATTTGTTGCTCCGTTGTGGGATTCATGACATAACTTGTTCCTTTCTTTTATTTTTTTCTGTTCTGTTCTAATGAACTTTGAAATGTTTTTGTGCGGGATGTATAAGATGGCCGGCCGTATGTGTGTGTGTGTGCGTGTGTGCGTTTGTGTAGTTGTGTGTGTGTGTGTTTGCTTGTGTGTTCTTTGTTTTTCGTATCAACTACATTTCAGTCAAGAATCATATAATTTTTTTAAGCATAATATCAGTACATTTCCATTATTGTGATTGTGAAAAAAAAAGTATTTATGGAAATTACGTTGGTGTGTTTACATTTGTATTTTTGTGTAAACTTTTATTTATCTTGATGAAATGGTACTTACTGCATAGCGATCATTGATGCATGATTATGTGCATATGAGTTTGTTATCGTATACACTCTTTTTTTTAATGTAATGAAAACAAAAAGAATTATTTTAATGTCTTGTCTTTTATTTGTTTGTGGTGGTGGTGGTGTTTTTTTTTTATATAATAATATATGAATTATTTATTGGAATCTAGTTTTTTTGTGTATTTTTTGATCAAAATGTCTTGTCTTTCGTGATTTCATGTCTAAATGAAAGCATTGATTTGATATTGATGATGATGTGAAAATCATTAGAACAAAAATAGAAAGTTTGTTAAATTTAATGGGAATCGTTTGAAATGCATCATCATCATCATCAAAATTCTTTACATATTTATTGATGACATAATTTTTTAATATCGATCATTGTGCATAATGGTTAACACATTGAAATCATGAATCAAATCGATGTTAGAGAACCAATAGAAACTCACAAGCACTGGACGGACGAACAGGGTGTATCCACAATTCCTGCTACCCGCAGGAATCAAACCCGGCACCTATAGTCTTGAGAACGAACACCTAACCTATGGACCACAAGGACGACATCCAAAAGTGTTAATATCTAACTCTGATCAATCTAGGGATTTCACGCGACCAACCATTTGTGCTTGGTAGTTCCTGCCTACACCTGACAGGGTAGAACTTCACTGGTCACGTCTTCTCTCTAGGACTCCGAGAATTTTATTCACGAAGCTTGTCATTAGTGAGACCATATTGAAATCATGAACCAATCATTGTCGCGCGCCAGACCGATGCTCCTGGTTTCGAATCCGGCAAGTTGTAGGAGTCGTGTATGTACACTTCTCACTGGTCTTGCGTTAGGATGAAACGTCCGTCCAGTGCTTGTAGGTTTCTAAAGGTGGTTTGGCAATGACTTATTCATGATCTCAATAGGTAAAAACTATGATCACCGTAAATCAGTGATTTAATTGTCATTAGTGACAATAAAACCTCCCATCCATCATTCTCTGACAATCATTTCGAGTCTTTACTTTAATTCACGTTTCAAAGCTTGAAAACTACACTTTACCGCTAACTATAGCAAAAATAATATTGTTTCCGATGTACTACAAATCGCTTTTCTGTTTCGATACATAAGTCCGGGTTGAGGTGTTTAATGGTTATGGCTACCTGCAAAGTAGTTAAGAGATGAGCATTTTATGTAACTGCTTCAAAATGTTTTGAAAGTCATCATAAAAATATGTTTAAAATTGACCATCATGTTGAAAACGGAAAGTATACACATATATTATCAGAGGTAATTAACATGATAACTTATATGCACCATCAGCTTACTCGCTACTTCCAACCCATGTGATGAGTACTACTCACGACGTGGCTCATGAGTGGTATGAAGCAGAGTATCGCCCAACAGTTACTGTCGAACCGAAAAGTGTCGGACCCGGACGTATGGCGAAATTAGAGTTTTTTGAAGACGAGAAGACGTTTGGAGAAAGATAGCCGATAATAAATATGCTTGTTTTGGAAATGAGAGTTTGAAGATAAAGTGCAGATATTTTGCCAGCAAACTGTGACCTATTCAAATAAATCGCCTATAACATCTGATCTTAACGTCAAGTATTAGTACCCTATTTTTAACTTAAGCGCTACTTGGTCTTTAAATCTCAACGTACTCGAGTGAAGCTTTGTGAGAATCGTCGATCAAATACCAGTGATCAAAAATTATCTTTTGTTTTGAAAAATAGTGAGCTATACTGGAGAATCATCATCAGAGTAAGAAATATCTCGTGATATATCAATTATGAAAACCACTATATCGAACAATGTGTATATCACCTTCAGTTAAGATTACGTGAATGCCAATTGACAGTTAAGCACCATGACATATCTTCCCTTATATTAATACAACTGTGGATTGAAAAAAATGTTTAAATCTTAGGTAGAGAGTGTTGAAAGAACACTCGAGAATTTTTAGAAGCTTGGCATTCAAGTCAATCAGCAATCAAAAAACACATCAACTTTAATCCAATTTATCAACCGATCATTGAAATCACGGGTGCATTCGCAGCGTTTCTCGAGTTTGTTCGAACCAGCAATTAAGCAATACTGAGGTTAAGCCTAATGTATTAATTAGAGGTGGCAAACTGGTTGATGAGGTGGCAGATCTTTATTTACTGAGATCGTTTGTATGTATGTCAGTCTTATCCAACCTCTAATTACCTTAATACAATGTGGGCAAGTTAGAAAAAATTTAGGGGCACTTAAACAAAGTTTTAGCATCAGTTCATAGACTTATTGACAGTTGAACTGAACCGTGTTGGTAGATACTGGGTACCTAGTTGGAATCCGTGTAATTTTCCCTAACAATAGTTGAACCTTCCTTTCCATTTCTATCATCAGGAAATTAAAATGTAGTTGCAGTTATTCTCCTCAAAATTAGTCCTAACTTATAAATTGTTGGGGATGTCAGATCCCCAGAACTCGCTTGATAAATATCCTTATCTTGGATTTATTTCATGAACTGATCGGTTGACCTTGAGATCACATTTCCCACCAGGAATATCCTTGGCTATGATTGGTTACTGTACTATTTTAGTGTGCTATTTTGCGACTGTCCCAAGGACGTCTCTATAGAGTATAAATAAACGCAATTTGAGTGCTCGGATTCATTGTGCGCTGACTGGGTGTTTGTAGAATACAATTTCCACACTATATAAAGACTTCTTGTTGACTCGATTTGGTCAAGGGATCAAAGTAGCCTACCTGAACGCTGGTTCATTGTTTGTTCTCGGTATTCATCTAACGTGAACTGGTAAGAGGTTAAGCATAATTAGTGACGAGCACAACATAAATGATGTTTGTCTGTGATGACATATGTTTGTAAAAAGTAAGATTTATGTTGACATACATATATATTTTAGCACAATAATTAACATGGATTTCGGTCAGCATGCAAAATTCACGTGACTTATGTACATAAAATCATGTATGATATAGTCTAAATATTATGTTATCCGTATTAGGTTACTTACAAATTTTAGAGTAGTACAACAATAGTTTCAAAAAATTTAAAAACGTAAGATGTATACACACTACATGCATTCACATTGTCTTCTTACTCTCGTTAAATTCGCATTATTTCATGACCCTGGAAAATGTTCATATATTTTTTTTTCAACATTTTAACACTAATGAAGATGTATATTGATTGTTTATTTATAAGCATCTTTGAGTTACAGTTTCAACATTACACTCATCACACTGTACTTTGAATCCATTGGCCATTCGACAATTGCATTGAATATTTTCTCGTTTAGTTACATTTCTATAACCACGACCACAACACATATTCACACAATTTGATGTTCCTGTATCTTTCAATGTACAAATTCTGTTGATAAATTTTAAAAAAATATATATATAAAATGTTTTCATTAGTTTTATTTTGAAACAAAAAAATGTATTCGGTCACTTAGTACTATTATTGGAAATTTTGTAATCCTGATATTGTTGTTAGATTATTGAAAAGTTTACAGATTAAGATATATTACTTATTTCCTAATAGTAGTATATTTTTATTCTCATAAATGTCGTTTGTAATTTATTCCTAATAATGACATTATTTAACACATAACATAACATAACATAACTCTACAATATAATGAGCGCAAAGTAGAACAAAGTACTAACTCCAATCTACTAGGTTAATAACTACAATCTAGTTGTAGATAAATAAGTTTTGAAAAGGAGAAAATTTGGTGTCGCTGCCTGCTCGAAGGAAGGAGCTCCCGTGGCCGAAGGAGTTGCAGGACGGAGATTGGCGGAGCTTCCTGGAGGAGTTTGAGGCCGCGGTGGAGCTGGTGGGGCCCGGGACGGAGTTGGCGGTGCTGGGGACGCTGCGGGGAGGTGAGGTGAAGGCGGTCTACGACAGCCTGGACGCTGCCGCAGGGAAGACGGCGTGGGAGACGGTCACCTGGCGGCTGATGATGGAGTTCGACAGCCCGGTGGACAGAGAGGAGGCGCCGCAGAGGTTCCGGTTGGCGAGGCTGTCGGCTGATGGTGACCCGTTGGTGATGGCTGTGGAGCTCACGATGTTGCTGCGCCGTACGCTGCCGAGTATGGATGAAGCGTCAGGGGCACAGTTGTTGGCGTCGCAACTTATCGAGAGTGTGCCCGCCGCCGTGTCCCAGGAACTAGTAAACGCTACACGGTGGATAGATGCCGTACCCATTCCAGACCAGAGGGCAAGAACAATGAGCGAAGTGGTTATCCGGCATATTGCAGCGTGTCAAGGAATACGGAAGATGATATTAACTGACCAGGGTCCCTGTTTTGAAAGTGATGAGTTTAGAGCCCGTCCAAAGCAGTTTGGCGTCAAGAGGATACGAACCACACCGTATCATCCGCAGATAAACGGGCTTACGGAGAGAAGACAAGAAGAAGCGCGTAAATGCTAGATGGTTAAATGTATGAGTCACGAAAAGCACCAAAGATGACAACGGTACGGCAATCAGAAAGACTACGACGACAGCTTATTAAAAGGGGGGACGAGTGTGGTGCGAGCTACTTATAAGTAGTATATGATGTGAGTGTCAACGTAATGTCTGGCAGCAGAAGATGGGGGAAGATCAAGAAAGGAAGAGCTAGAACACAATGGAATTTGTATGAAACGCATGAATAGTGACCATGGATTGATGTTTTGCAACAGGAACAGTCCAATTCGAGATGATGGACTGATATTTTGCAAATCAACGATTTAAGATATGGTTTTCCTATTTTACTGAGTAACTGTAATTTTCGTTGTGGTGGTGTTTAATTCTCTGAGCTGGATGTTTTGGTTGTGAAGCTTTCATTGTTCTTCTGATACAACATCATCAACACAGAATTCAGATAGAAGCTCAGAGAACGAGACATCAGCATAAATAGGTTTTTGCTATTTCCATGTAATATGATATTTGAACTGAATTGTCAATTAAAAACGAAAGCCTTAATAATTAATGTCTTTGAACAGCTGGAAATGATCAGATATTTAAATTATAGTCTTCGGATTAATCTTATTACTGAAATTTAAGAAAAATAGAATCTTTAAAAATACGTCCACCATTTAGAAGGGCTGAATCAGGTTGACATAATACTAGACCAAATTATTCTCTCGAACTCTTACTGGTGAATAATCTCACTGCACATCATCAACTGATTCAAATTGTTATTAACCCAAAACTATTCCATATAAAATCAAATCCTCATCACTAAAGTTTCATACAAAATACAAAAAATAGTTTATAACTTACCTATCTCGTGTACCAACAGAACCTCTTTGAGGTTCTACATTACAATAGTCTGGTGAATGTTCACTGAATACCAATTCTTCCGGTTTTACTACTTCATCAATAAATCCATTGCCAATAAATGTTTTAGCAATTAATTCACCATTTTTACCTTCTGAAACTTGTTTAGCTGCCTTGTTTTTTTTTAAAAATCAATAAATAAATAGGTGAAAATAATTTATCTGATACAATTACATGCATACTAGTTATGATTTTCAGTACAAATGTCAAGACAGTTCTACTGTATCGAGCGGAAACCTAGAGAACTACCAAAGCCATCATCCACAAGATACAAGTGTTTATTAACAGTTGTCTATGTAAAATACTTCGGATTCGTTGACCAGACAACATCAGCAATAACTTACTGTGGGAGAGAACAAACCAGATTCCAGTGAAGGAGGAAATCAGGAAGAAGCGATGGAAGTGGATAGGACACACACTATGAAAAGCACCTAACTGCATCACAAGACAAGCCCTTATATGGAACCCTCAAGGTGAAAGGAAAAGAGGAAGGCCAAGGAACACATTACGCCGAGAAATATAGAAAGATATGAGAAGACTGAACAAAAATTGGACAGAATTGGAAAGGGAAGCCCAGGACAGAGTTTGTTGGAGAAAACTGGTGGGCGGACTATGCTCCATTGGCAGTAACAGGCGAAAGTAATTAAGTAAGTAAGTGATGATTAACTTTGGCATGTAACCTTAAGAGTAGTACCATTAGAAAAGTCAGAATTAGTGTAGTTCAAGTATAACTAGGAGGAGATAGTTAAAATCATTCAAATAAAACTGTGAGTAAATTCAAGTTAGCTATGAGCAACATTGAACTCCATCCTATAAGTATAGATGTTAAGTGGATATCATGAAATTGAAGGTTCCGGCCTTCAATCCCTTAGTAGGATCATGCAGATGCATAACTGAATTCCATATTACAGTGTGTACAGTGCTTTCGAGTGTTCAATATACTTATTTAACTTAGATCAATCCATGATGTCAATTATTCAAAAAAACTTATGATGATTATTTAGTTTGAAAATTCTTACTACTATAAACTGTATTCAGTAGAATTTGTTGATGAATTAAAAAAACTTTACACAAAAGTGTATATTCATTTGACAGATACTATAGAATAAAAATTCGACTTACTAAATATCGCATTTTCAATGCTTTTTGCATTAGTTCTGTATCAATTCGTCGTAGTTGACGAAAACAAACACGTTGTGCACAACTTCCACTAACACCATGACATTTACAGACAAGTTTTTGATTTGCTTCCATTAACTGAAAAGAGATATGCAAGAGACAGAAAGAAAGAGAGGAACACAGTGTCAGAGACGTGAATTAATAAATAAAATGAGCAAATACTTATGCAGATATAAATGAGCCATCAAACTTTTAAATAACTCTTATTAAGACTCCGCGAGGAGCTCTTTTGAGGTTACTGCCTTTCCCAAGCCCAGATAGAGAAGAGTTGGGCATTGGGGTTAGCGACCCCATCACAAAGAAATCCAACTCACTAAAAAACGCTCACCAGAAACAATAATTCACTGGTCAGCGTTCTATACTCCATCAGAGGTAATAGACGTATTTTAGTAAGTAAGTAACTCCTATTTGAGCGGACAAAAGAAACGCATGATTACGCTGGTGCAAATATTCGAGCATACATACTTATATAAGTATAAAGCTATATTCAATATTATAGGTGGATTACCGTAGTGTAATTAACACTGAACTTCGCTTGGACCGTTCTAGGGTTAATGCCGGTGCTAAGCGCAGATAAAGAAGGAGGGGTTGTGCATGGGGTTAGCGGCCCCATCCTGTAGAAATTCAACTCGCTAAAAAAACGCTAACCACTGGTCGGTGGCCTATGCTTCA